AGAGAGGCCGCAGGATGCTTTCAAAGACATTGCAATAGCGCAGGCAGATTGATGCCTGGGAATTGGACGAACGTGAGCTGGAAACGAAGACAGACAGAGAGATGTCGATGATGTCGACCCAGCTCCACCTTCAGTGCTTCAACAGGCCTGCAGCCCTTCACACTTTGTACGTCAGAAACAAAGAGGTCAAGCTTCATTTGCTTAGAAAGGAGGTGGGTGTATCATGAGGTCTAGTGCCAGCAACCGTAATATCTCTTTCTTGCCAGAACTGATAGATGTTGCTTTGCTTGGATGGGTCATTTGGGAAGGCACTGAAAGGGGTACATTCGCAGGCACGAGAGAGGCCGCAGGATGCTTTCAAAGACATTGCAATAGCGCAAGCAGATTGATGCCTGGGAATTGGACGAACGTGAGCTGGAAACGAAGACAGACAGAGAGATGTCGATGATGTCGATGATGTCGACCCAGCTCCACCTTCAGTGCTTCAACAGGCCTGCAGCCCTTCACACTTTGTACGTCAGAAACAAAGAGGTCAAGCTTCATTTGCTTAGAAAGGAGGTGGGTGTATCATGAGGTCTAGTGCCAGCAACCGTAATATCTCTTTCTTGCCAGAACTGATAGATGTTGCTTTGCTTGGATGGGTCATTTGGGAAGGCACTGAAAGGGGTACATTCGCAGGCACGAGAGAGGCCGCAGGATGCTTTCAAAGACATTGCAATAGCGCAAGCAGATTGATGCCTGGGAATTGGACGAACGTGAGCTGGAAACGAAGACAGACAGAGAGATGTCGATGATGTCGATGATGTCGACCCAGCTCCACCTTCAGTGCTTCAACAGGCCTGCAGCCCTTCACACTTTGTACGTCAGAAACAAAGAGGTCAAGCTTCATTTGCTTAGAAAGGAGGTGGGTGTATCATGAGGTCTAGTGCCAGCAACCGTAATATCTCTTTCTTGCCAGAACTGATAGATGTTGCTTTGCTTGGATGGGTCATTTGGGAAGGCACTGAAAGGGGTACATTCGCAGGCACGAGAGAGGCCACAGGATGTTTTCAAAGACATTGCAATAGCGCAGGCAGATTGATGCCTGGGAATTGGACGAACGTGAGCTGGAAACGAAGACAGACGGAGAGATGTCGATGATGTCGATGATGTCGACCCAGCTCCACCTTCAGTGCTTCAACATGCCTGCAAGCCCTTCACACTTTGTACTGCAGAAAAAAGCGCTCGAGCCTTATTTAAGAAGGCAAACATTCGCAGGCGGTGGGTGTATCATGAGGTCCAGGCACGAGAGAGGGCGCAGGATGCTTTCAAAGACCACTCCAACAGAGCAGCTTGATAAAGATTCTCAGACCGTCACCTGCCGTGAATAGTAAAGAGAAAAAGAGGCATCCCGCTGACTCCAATTCGGCAAGTTTAGGTGCAAGGAGTTGGCCAAAATGTGTCTTCACTCAAGTCACAAACTGGGCTGGGAAAGCAGCCTGTTTCCGGCAACTGATGAGAGCCAAGTCTCAAACAAGCGTTGGGGTATTCAAAAGTTAAGCTGGCAGTGCCTCCAATTCAAGGAGTCATCCATTATCGTCACCGGCAAAATTTCTTTTCTCCCAGGACTGATAGATGTTGCTTTCCTTGGATGGGCATGTCATGCAGGTCATCTGGGCAGGCATGCATTCGAAGGGATTCCAGAGGATGCAGTTTGCCTTCAAAAAACATTCAAGACTGGAGTCGGGTTGACACATTCAAGTTGAGTTACCATGACAAAAGATGTCCTCCTGAACTCACAAACTGGGCTGGAAAAGCAGCCTGTTTCGGGCAACTGATGCGAGCCAAGTCTCAAACAAGTGTTGGGGTATTCAAAAGTTAAGCTGGCCAAGCCTTCAAGTCAAGGGCTCGTCGAAAGCCATCAGCGGAAATCTCTTTTTTTGCCAGAACTGATAGATATGCTTGCCTTGGATGGGCATGTCATGCAGAAGGTCATTGGGCAGGCATGCGTTTGCTTTTCTATCGGGTTGTGAACTGGCATGGTCACTTAAAGCGGTTTTGAAAACTGACACAAGTAGAATCATTCGGCCCCAGCAGATAGCCTCAGCAGCGGCAGCAGCGCTAGACAATGCCTGTTCAGAAACACGTGCCTGTTTAGTTCTGCAAAAAAAATGCAAACTCATGAAAAACGCCTGTGGAAAGGGCCAAGTCGCCTTTCGAACAAAGTAACCATTGACGAGCTCAACACACCTGCTACTCTTCAAGTGCACAACAAGGTTGTGTATGAGCTACCATTACCTGTTATAGTACAATGATCCAATGTGTGTATAGAGTGGCGTTGGGCACATATTCACCTCCGACTTACGAGCCTGACTTGACAGGCTCTTGCATTTCCCAACTCGGTCATCCAATCTCGTCCATGTGACAGAGTAAAGTTCTGTAGACCTACGTGCCGATGTGCCACAAGAAATGTGCAAGAGCAAGCAGCGTGGAACATTTGACCACCTGCTTTTTCCATTCTTTGAGGGTGATTGTGCGCAATCTGCAAAGTAACCCACTTACAATCGTCACACAGGCGACAGGTGCTTGAGCCCTTCCTCTTGAAGCAAACAACACAACTGCAGCAATGTTTGTATCTTCTCTGGGACTGGTGCTTTGACCCTACGCTGGCAGAGGAGTCCAGTATGTGTGCTGGGCGCGGATGCATACTGTCGCTGCTTGAGACGTACGACCTTGACTACAGGCTTCAACACATTTTCAAGCGCAGCCATCCATATTGCAATCTCGTCCGCGTGACAAAGTAAAGTTCTGGAGACCGATGTGCTACAGGAAATGTGCAAGAGCAAGCAGCGTGGAACATTTGACCACCTGCTTTTTCCATTCTTTGAGGGTAATTGTGCGCAATCTGCAAAGTAACCCACTTACAATCGTCACACAGGCGACAGGTGCTTGAGCCCTTCCTCTTGAAGCAAACAACACAACTGCAGCAATGTTTGTATCTTCTCTGGGACTGGTGCTTTGACCCTACGCTGGCAGAGGAGTCCAGTATGTGTGCTGGGCGCGGATGCATACTGTCGCTGCTTGAGACGTACGACCTTGACTACAGGCTTCAACACATTTTCAAGCACAGCCATCCATATTGCAATCTCGTCCGCGTGACAAAGTAAAGTTCTGGAGACCGATGTGCTACAGGAAATGTGCAAGAGCAAGCAGCGTGGAACATTTGACCACCTGCTTTTTCAATTCTTTGAGGGTAATTGTGCGCAATCAATGAGCCCGTGAGACAGGGAGGTGGGTGTATCCTGAGGTCTAGTGCCAGCAACCGTAATATCTCTTTCTTTCCAGAACTGATAGATGTTGCTTTGCTTGGATGGGTCATTTGGGAAGGCACTGAAAGGAGTACATTCGCAGGCACGAGAGAGGCCACAGGATGCTTTCAAAGACATTGCAAAAGCGCAGGCAGATTGATGCCTGGGAATTGGACGAACGTGAGCTGGAAACGAAGACAGACAGAGAGATGTCGATGATGTCGATGATGTCGACCCAGCTCCACCTTCAGTGCTTCAACAGGCCTGCAGCCCTTCACACTTCAAAACATATTCAAGACGGACTGATGAGGTGCAGGCAATGGGTTCAGGATATTCTTTTTCAGAGGGAAACAGTTTGTGCTTGAAACATCTGACATCTACGCGGATTCCGCAGCTTTTTGCGCGTTCCCGCGCCGCGGCAAATCTGGATTCCGTGTGCTGTGTGAGCTGGAAAGCTCAAAGAAGTGGGGCTAAACCCGAGTGCGATGCAAGCTTATACGAACAAAGAGGGTCAGAGTTTGCCTAATGCAGAGGAAGCCAAATTCCACAGGGGGACTCTGCGCCCCAGTGAGCGAGTGAGCACTTCGTTTTGAAAGCACAGAATACATACAGCTGCTAAGCAGGGATCCTCGACCGAAGTGTAAATTACGGAGGTGCGGAGGACTTCATGTAGCTTATATAACTGCCTCGGAGGCCTGCTGGGACCTTTTCCCTCGTGACTGGGCAGCAAGTGTGCTTCCATGCGGCTCCCCCGTTGCTTGCAGAAGGCTTTGGGCTGGTTCCGTCAGAAATGTTTTTGATTTGGATTGAGATATGATTCATTGATGTATTTTTGGTTATGTTGATCTGTACTGTGATTTTGAGTGGTGCTTGTTGCCTTCCAATACCAAGGTCTGATCGTTCACATCAGCAAGATGGTTTCATTGCGGGAAGAAAATGAGCGACGTCTTTGGCAGCACAGCTCCCAGGGTTAGGGCAGTTTTTGAACTGCTTAGAATTTTCTCTTGAAGCAACTTGTTTTTGGTTTGAGAGATTTGCTGTTTCCCGTCTCCGTCCCCAAAATGCCATGATTCATGGTCCCAGTTGACAAGAAACGAGTCAGAGCCCGGGCGAGCCGGGTGGCCGAAGTGCGACAGCTAGGAATGCAGCATGACCAGCTGGTTCCGCCGTTGTCTTTTTCAACTTGACATTGACATCTCATATCCTGTCATATCCATTGACGTCTCTTTCTCTTGACATCCTCTCTCCTCGCAACTCTTTCTCTTGCCACGTCTTTGTCTGGACGCTTCTTCTTCCTTGGCATCTCTTTCTCTTGACATCCTCTGGGGAACCCTTTCTGGTGCCACCTCTTGTCTGGACGCTTCTTCTTCCTTGGCATCTCTTTCTCTTGACATCCTTTTCTGATGTCACCACTTTCTCTTGAACCGGGCTTCCCTTGACGTCTTTTCTCTTGGCATCCCTTTATACTCTCAACAGTGACATCTTATGGAATCTCACTTTGTGGCTCTGAGCTGAAAGAGCGGGAACCAAAGATGCCAATGTCACTTTTCATGACATTTCAACACACTTCAATTATACAAATAGTGAGTGGAAATACTTTGGGATGTCCGCGCTCCTCCAGATCTCTGGGTTTCTCTCCCCGGATTTACTCGTTCCAGTGGTAAAACCAAGACTCAAGACACATCTTGGCGCCGGGCCATGGGCCATGGCTGCGCTGCATATGGTTCCCAGGGTTGGACGGACTTTGGGCAAACATTTGCCGAAGGTCACTGGAAATTGCTGGAAGATGCGAACATTTTCCGCTGCTTCATCCGATGCATCCCGCATTGATGTCCGACAGAGTTGGAATTCGCTGACGGGATCCCAAAAGCAAGCGTGGAATGTGCTTGGCGTGGAAGGGGCAACTATGTGGAATCTAGGCATCAGGCTAGCTGTTTGGGGATGCAATTTCAAAGGGGGATTGCATGAGATCATCTATCTTTTTGCATCGTCACTAGATTATTTCTTTGAACATGGGCCGATGTCACGCATGTTGATTCTGATAATTATTGCTCCGACCAAGGAAGCGCTTATCGCAACCAGATGAAAGTGTCAAAGTGTTGAAACTGAAGAGATTTGACAAACTCACGGCTGCACAACAAGCCGCTGTTATACATGGACTGGATTTAGATGTTGCAACTTGGGATGCATTCGTTGAAAAGCGTAAGTCTCAGCTGGAAAGTGCTCCCCTTGGGCACACAGAATTGGCTGAGAGCAGGGACGTTGCGCGATCTGGACTTGCAGATTCGATCCTTAGTCACTGGGCTTCTGAATGAGCAGATGTTCATCACATCTTGATGCTGTTTTGAGCAGATGGTCTCCGAAAACCTTGCTGATGTCATGACAACAATGTCAAAAATCCTGGCAGCATCAATTTCCTTGCCATAGAATTCTTTTTGAGGCTGACACTATACATTGATTTTGCAGAAGTTGGACTCAAATTGGCACTTCAACAGATCAACAATCTCTCATGGACTGGAGAAATTTCCATCTGAAAAATAGAGAGGTCACCTCTTAAAGGCTTACCCTCTGGTTATTTCACCATCATAGATGATAGGCATTTTTCCAGTTCGCTCGTTAATTTACCAGAAGGTAACTGGTGATTTTGCCTTGCCATGTTTCTCTGCGGACAAGTGGAATCAACAGAAATGGGTGTGCAAACCAACCAGTATGGGCAGAATATTTTCTTCTATTTACCAAGAACCAGAGAAAATGAGATGTGGGTTGTCTTCAGATCTACCACGAAGGCCACCATCAGAGATTCCGATCCTGTTTTCAGATGATCTTTAGGTGATTTACTTCCTATTACAGATCTTCTAGGGTATCGTTCATCCCTGTCAGATCAAAGAGTGCTTGGGGAACTGGACCTTGATAATATGCACAATTAATTGTTTATTCTGTCAAACTGGTTCATCATCAAAAAACACCAATATTTCTGAGGTATATATAAATGATTGAGTTAGTCAGGGAGTTCCAGGTTGGCTATCCCAACTACAGGGCATCCCCAGGTAGCGCCTGGAGCATCACCAAGCGCTACGGCCCTGCTCTGGGCGCCGTGCTGAGCGATGCAAAGGTCACGACGGGAAGGATGCCGCGGTCGGGCGCGGCTGCAGTGGCCGCGGTGGCGGGGCAGCTGTTGGAGATGCTGCCGTGGATGGTGGATTTCAGGGAGGGGCAGGCGAGCCCCGTTGCCAGCTGATTGAACAGCATTGATACTCATTGCTCATGTGGATCTGACCATTTTGGGGGTTTCATGTTCAGAATGGGGGTAAAATCATTCAGAACCGAGAACAAAACACATGATTTGGAGGGATGAACATCCAGAAAGCACCAGGAACATCCTGAGGAACAGGATGCTAGGGTGAACTCATCCAGAATGCCATAACCTTTTTTGAAGTCATCCTTTTTTGACGGAAGAAGCACGTCCAAGCATCATGGGACAGCCAGTGGCAGGTGTTAGTGGAGGAGCTAGAAACTGTCACTTGGACGGAATCATGTGATGTGAACCAGATTTATATTGGATGACTTAAGGGGTGACATGTGATGGGGATCATTTTTCCAAGAATTTCACCGTTCAATTTTCGATGTCCATGATGTCAAGAATAATTTGTCTGCTAGCCTCTATTGTTGCCTTTGTATGTTAGACTTTTAGCTACAAATTCATCATGTCGGTCAACTCTTCGGGCCATCTCAGCGAAGCGCGCTGTTTCGCACGAATATGTCAATATGTCAGGTTGTTATGTTCGTTGACATGAAATTACGTATCTCATTCAGAACCACATGGTCACTCCGCAAGACTGAAGCTGTCCCACTACATTCACTACACCTGGATCAATATCATGGTAAATCTGGTAATCAAACGTGGCTTGCTAGAAAAGCCCTCATTTTTTCGATGTTTTTTCCGTTCAAACTTCCACTTATAGTGGTGTTTTTGGCGTTCCACGTTAGTGTCCGCTTCCCAAAAAAGGTGGGAGGATGCCTCTACTGGAATCTGCCCAGATCCGAGGTCCTCTACTTGGACGATTCGGGTTCCATGAACGGTGCCAACTTGTCGGAAGCTCGTGGAGCGCTGCGGAAGATGGCACATTTGTTGCAGGATAGTCCTACACGCGTATGTACGTGGCTTGGAAAGACGAAGATTATATATAACATGATAAGCAGATTCGTAAATTGTGTAAATATACTGTATTTCTATTTTTTAAAACTATTGCATCCAGAATCTTACTTCTGTAGATTATGGTACACACACACATATATATATATACATATCATGAATCATGCAATGATCGAGTGGTCAATAGGAAGTTGAGAACAGCAGGTGTGCAGTGGGCAATGCATCCATTCGATTTGTCAGAGCAACTACTTCTCAAGGGAGGGTTGAGGTGGGCGCGATTTGATTCTCAGGCTGAAAACGGCACTGGGGGTAGGCTAGATTAGTTTTTCGATGCAATGGAAAGCAAGGTCATACACACAGTCCACAATATGAACCCAGTTTGGCTGACAGTGATGTAGTTGAGCAATTCGATGATGAGCGTGGAGGATTTGAAGTGCCTTTTCTGGCGATTGACTTGTTGCCTGAACATCTGCGTTTTCAACGATTGAGTTCACCTGATGTGACGCGGAACCATGATGTTGCCGACTTGGACGTCGGTGAAGGCATTGATGCAGGGCAACTGAGTGACTAGGGCAGCTAGGGCGGGGATCAGGGTCAAGCAGACACTGGCAGCCGTTGCTCGGGCCTGAGAATCTTTCAGAAGCTTTCTTCGCTGCGCCTGATGAAGCCTCTGTGTGGGTTCTCTCGAATTGCTTGATGAACCTGAGCTTTGCGATTGCGGAACCGCATGCCAAAAGTCGTAACCTGCGTGTAGTAGCTTCACCTCGTGTTTGGTCTGAGATGGTTGCCAAGAGTTTTGCACAGTTCAGGCAGACAGATAGCATGCTACTCTTTCCCTGGGAGACAGCTGTGCTAGCAGAGACTTTCAACTTCCAACAGGATCCACTGCCGGGGCGTCCGGGCCTGGCTGAGATTCGACATGAACAATCTGCTGCTGCCTCAGACAACATGCAAGAGCAGCTACAGCGGTTTTTGATGCCTGGTGATGCAAAGTATGTACATGGCGTAAAGAGCTTGCAAGACCTAAGCTACTTTGAATCGAAGACGCAGAAACTGGATCTGGCTTGTGGGCAATGGTTGAACATTTTGTCATTGGTTGCATCGCTGCAGAGGGATCACACTTGTACAGATGCAATTTACATTTTGAAAGTTTGCTTTGGTGTGAAGAGTCCCGCAACGTTGTTGAAGTGAGCAGTGCTTTCCACAAGTACCTTAACTGGTTTGAGAGAAATGGAATTTGTGGTGAAATGGGAGTCAAACCTTTCCCATTGGAGAAGACCATTGTATGGGAGTAAATCAAAACTCTCAAACAACAGCGCCTGAGCAATGCAAAGGGTTTCACGGTTCCGGCAGCCTTTTTGGAGGCGGTGAGATTCGCAAAAAAATCTCTTGATCTTTCTGGCACAGATGCAATCCTGGGCTCCAGACGGCTGCAATCCTGGGCTCCAGACGGCTTCTGGGCTTTGCAGCTTTGGAGAGGCAAGCTATGGGTCCCTCTCACCAAGCACCTGGGCACTTGAGTAGATTTCATGATATCGTGGTTAGTGAAGCAAATCTCATTGACAAGCTGGGTGCTGCATGTGTCCTTGTATGCATATATGAACGTGCACGTTGGTCTGACTTACGTTATATTGAGCGAGCTTACATTGCAGAGGGTGAGTCACTGAGTTGGTTTACAGCGGAGCACAAGACGGCAGCAGTGGGCCTCAGACGACAGCAATACTTGCCAATTGTTGTCCCTTGGCAGGGAATTGCATCGGATGATTGGATGTCGTCCTTTTTGCAACTCTATGCAACAGCTGGTTTGGACATCAACAAGCAGCCTTAGGCCCACTGCTGCCAGCACCGAAGCTTGATGGAACATTCTGTGCTCGCCCGCTGGCCGCCTCGGAGGCGGCTGAATGGCTGAGGGCACTTTTGCAAGGAACAAAGGATGCCAATACTTTCAGAAGCCACCCCATGAAGGCAACCCTTTTGGGTTGGTGCGCCAGAGCTGGATTGGATAAAGAAAGCAGGGCAGTTGTGGGGCATCATTGTAGTGCACTGGATGGATCAGAAGTGGTCTACAGCTGTCAGCTGCAGACACAGGCTTTGCGGAAGGTTGGTGTTGTTCTACGGCGGGTGCGTGCAGGATTGACTTTTTGAAGATGGTGCAATGGGTGAATTTGGATTTGCGAGCACACCTGCACCTTTCACACCTACAGCTGCAAAACGCACTCCTGTTCCTCCGGTGCCCAATGTGGACGCTGCTGCAACAACTGCGAAACAGCCCTTAGACGATGAAGAGCAACGATGACATATTGCATTGTGCAACTGATAGCGAGGTGCACTACGCTATGGTTGTTTGAAGCGCTGCACGGGAGCTGCCGCCTGGATATCCCAGACCGGCCTTGGCACAGCTTCTGCAGTGTGACAAAGCAGCCTTCAGTCGCCTGGGGTCCACCTTAGCTTCGATCCGCCAGCGTGATGATGGCACCTATCCTCTTGGAGTCGCGCTTTTGGAGCTGAGGACAGACCCTTTGATTACCCTGCACTTGGCGCCGCTGGCAAAAGCCAGTCAACCTCTCAGTCATCCCAGGCATCTACATGGAGGAGTCAACCGTACCCACAACAGTCGTCTGGGTCAAAGGGCAAAGGTGGGACAGGCAAAGGGAAGAGCAACGGTAAGTCTGGGCCTCCAATTCCCCAAGCACTACGCGGCAAGTGGCATAAGACACCCAGTGGCGAACCAATCTGTTTTGGATTCAATTGCAAATCTGGGTGTCCTGACAAGCATGTCAAACCTGGCCAGAGATGCTCGCGTGGCTACCATGTTTGAGCAGAGCCGCATGTGGTGCAGATCATTCCCTTCAGCAGCATGGGCAACCATCCACTACAGAGATTGGAGTAGTGTTTCAATAGAGCAACGCTTTATGATAGAGGTCTTTGCGGGAGTTGCAATTTTGTGTGCTACAGCCAAGCAGGCGGGCTTAGCATCATCAATTGCGGTGGACAAGTTGAGAAAGAAAGCTTGTCGCAGTACAATTCTTCAGTTAGACCTCTGTAACAAACAGCACCAGTCTTTCCTTGAGCGGTGGTTGCAGTCTTCACTTCTAGTATGGGTACGCCTTGCTCCAGTTTGTGGCACAGCGCTCGTGACATCAGGCGCTTTCCTGGTGATCCGCAGCTCTTGCGAAGCAACTCGGAACCTAAAGGGTTGAGTGAACTTCATGAGGAAGATGCTCGTAGGGTGCGCATCGCCAATGAATTATTTGCATATTCCTGCCGGATTTTTGAGATGGCCTGTTCCAGAGGAATTTGGGCTACGATGGAGGACCCGCGAAATAGTTACTTCTGGCTCACAAAGTGGGTTCTGGCTCTCATGGTTGCAAGGGATTTATTTTGCGGAGATTTTCAAGTTTGCATGCTTGGCGGAACCAGAGACAAGTGGACAAGGATTGTTGGATTTTTTCCAGGCATTTTGGCGTTGAACATCAAGTGAGACGAAGGTCATCAACATGAACCTTGGGGGTTTGCAAAAGACAATGCGGGCAACAAGGTTTGGGACACGTCGCTTGAGTCCCAATATCCAAGAAAGATGTGTATCACGCTGGTCTCAATAGTTTTCGAATTTTTGGAAGGAAAAGGTTTGAAACTGAAAGCTACATCTCTCCTTGATGACTCTAACCTGCTGCAAGCCGCACAAAATGTACAGATGAGTGTGGGCGGTCAGCCAAAGCGTGTTCCTCCAGTGGTTGCAGATTCATGTGGTATTGGTGTTTTCCTGGCCGAGTCATTGGAAGCAATCCCTTGTGCTCTCATGTCCAAGTTGCCCAAGGACATAATTTTGTTTACAAAAAAAATCCCAGCCAGTCACCGGTCCACAGCATAGTCTTTTTCGCGTTTTGCGGCACTCCCTGCACCTACAACAGGGGAGCAAGGGGTGCAAGAGGTGCCTTCAAAACGAAAGCTTGCAGAAGCGGATACAAGCCAACAGGCACCAGTTTTTCAGTCTGAGGTGGTTTTTGGCATCCCGTGGGCATGTAAAGCCTTTATGCAACAAGCGTGCAGAGTTGGGCATGCTTCCATACGTGAGGGAAGTGTGCCAAGAGAGCTGGTGACAGCAGTGGACAAGCATGTCGAGTGGAATGCTGAACAAATGGCTTCTTACAGGATCGCTGGGTGCAGGTGCTGGATTGTGAGGGCGAAGGAGCTGGAGGATGCGGAACGCCTTGAAAAGGCATCCAGAGGTTGCAAAGCTAACCAAGGGCAAACGTCTGCCCTGACAAGGGAGATTCTGCAGGAAATGGGTTTTGCAGACGTGGACGCCTTGAAGCTCCTTGCGGAAGGGGCAACACTTGCTGGCGAAATTGAAGCTTCGCCATCTTTTGAAGCGCAGTACAAGCCTTGCCTTACGACTATGCAACAGTTGGAGATGAATGCTGGCAAGATGAATGAAGCTGTCGCAAGAATGGCCACGAGTTCTGGTGATCCGAGCGTGGATGAACAGTTGCTGGACGAGACTCTGCTTGAACTTCAAAAGGGTTGGGCAGATGGTCCTTGCTTGCTGCATGAGTTGGAGGAAGGGGCAACGGTATCAAGACGTTTTCCCTTGGCGCAAGGGGCCAAAACGCGTATGATAGATGACTTCAGTATTTCTGGAGTGACACCTTTTGTGCGCTCGTCAAGTACTACTTTTGGGCTTGCAGTGGCGGAGACAAAAGTTCCAGTCTTCTTGCAAAGACTTATGATCTGAAAAGTGCTTACCGTGAAGTTCCAATCAGACCTTCGCACTACAAGTATGCTTACTTCAGTGTATACAACCATAAGGAAGGGTGCATGCAGATATAGCGTCTCAAGAACATGCCCTTCGGAGCAGCTCATAGCGTCTACTGCTTTGTGAAGCTTGCACGGATGATATAGGCAATCGCCACTCAAGGCCTGTTTCTCCTGTGCACAAACTTTTACGACGACTTCATCCTAACTTCTCCGCCGAGCCTGAGTGCGTCTTCGCAGAGCAGCATGGAGCTTGTTTTATGCTTACGGGTTGGGTTTTTGCACAGGAGGGGTGAGGCCACAACTTTTGGCCATGTTTGCAAGGCCTTGGGTGTCCAGTTTGACCTCGCCAAGTCAGATGTGGGTCTGATGACTGTTTGTAATACTGAAGCTAGGCGCCAGGAACTGGTCGAGCAAATTCTGAAAGCTGTTGAACGTATGGCATTGGACAGACAAGAAACGCTGTCCTTGTGGGGCAGACCTGGCTTTGCTGACAGTTTTCTTCATGGTCGCTTGGGCAAACTGGTGCTTAAACACTCGGTGGATCATGCGTATGGGCCAAGCCGGCGTTTGGAACCAAACTTGGTTACTTCACTGAAAGCTATGGCTGAGCGTTTGCAGTCGTCAAAACCACGGGTGGTGACTTCTTTTGAGTGCGAGCAATGGTGTATATACACGGATGCAAGCTTCGAACAGTCAACTTTTACAGGTGGCCTTGGTGGTGTCCTCGTCAATGAACAGACGGAAGTCTGTGCCTGGTTTGGGATTTGCCTGGATGAATCTACATGCATTTCTTTGGATGCGGACTGCAAGGGCACCATCATTTATGAACTGGAGCTGCTAGCGACAGTGCTGGCCACTTGCGTGTGGTGTCAGGAGCGTAGTGAAATCTTACATGGGATCTTTGGTTATAACGACGGCGTTAGGTTTTCCTCGATACGAACAGTGGCTAGTGCATGGTGTGATGGATCAGCGTTTGATGGAGTATCAACTGCGTCTGGGAGCTGAAGGGGACTTAAGATCCTGGTATGAGTGTGTGCCAACGGAGGCAAATATCAGTGGCTGGCCGTCGAGGAGTCAGCCACATGAGCTCCTTGATTCCGCCCTCAACGTTTCTGGAAAGGCTTGGGAAAAGTTGCAAACTATTCTGAGATACCTGGCTTGTTGACCTGAAGCTTGATGTTGGAAGTGGAGTCCAGATCAAGCTTCCCCAGTGAAAAGTGTGCTTGCTCGCACATTGGACTCAGTTGTTTCATGCATTGCCTCAACGCACTTTGACGATGAAGATCATGCAATGATCGAGTGGTCAATAGGAAGTTGAGAACAGCAGGTGTGCTGTGGGCAATGCATCCATTCGATTTGTCAGAGCAACTACTTCTTAAGGGAGGGTTGGGGTTGAGGTGGGCGCGATTTGATTCTCAGGCTGAAAACGCCCCACCCTCAGCCACCCTTGTTTTCAGCAACCTTCTACATCAACGTCATCGCAGATTTTCCAACGGTGGATGAAAACGATCATGCCTAACCCATCCGTTCGTCCAGATCAAGCTTCCCCAGTGAAAAGTGTGCTTGCTTGCACTTCGGGCTCAGTTATTTCATGCATTGCCTCAACACACTTTGACACACACACACATATATATATATACACACACACATATACATACATATATATATACACATATATATATGTATATATGTATATATGTATATGTGTATATATGTATATGTGTATATATGTATATGTATATATATATAGACTCATACATATATATATATATTTATAGATACAACACACACACACATATATATATAAATGCATACCCGGCGAAAATAAGGATGTTCTTCCCACACAGGGTCGGGTTTCGGAGAATTCTTGGGAGAGGCAGCTTCACACTGACGTCCGGCCATGCAGCTCAAGTGTCCCAATGTTTTCGTCATGAAAATTGAGGTCCCTTTTGTCGCTTGTTGTAGAAAACAGAAAAGATACTTTTGGTGTATCCATTTTAGGTGAGGAAGTTTTTTTTTGCTGGTACCGATCTCCATTTTCCCCCCACAAGACTCTCCATGATATGGTTATGTCAAGTCCTGATAAGCAAAAATGGAGCCTCCCAACGCAATAACTCATCCCATAATCAAACATGGTTTGCTGGACATTCCCCGATTCAGTTCCATTTAGTTCGACCATTTTCCCTGAATTCAACAATTCAACCTCCATTTGATCCGGGAGAAAACCAGCGGCAATGATGACACCGGATACCAATCCGGGACATGGGGCTTACAGCCTCGGTTCAGGTTCGGCACTCATAAACAAGTGATCCTTCCGCGCGAGCCAAACCGCAGTCCCCGATCTTCAAGCACGAATGCGCTGGCGGCTCCTGAGAGGTGCTTGGGATTTGAGGTATTTTAGATCCCGCGAAACATCAACAAAAACATGATCCTCTATCGAATTTCAAGTGGAATTCACATGTCAATCGGGATCAGCCTCGCACCAAAAAACCTCGCCCTAATTGTTGTGGTTTGGACAGATCCAAATCAGTGAGCTCTAAACCCATGCCAATTTTCCATAAGACAAAGCACCCAGGACTCCTCTATATTTCAGCCCAAAGTTCGAGAAGCTGAATCCAGATATCATTGGTCTTCAGTGGAAGGGTCGGTCACCAGGAACAGGGTTGCTCCATCCACACGTAAATGATATTGCCACCAGGGGAGGGGGGGGGCAATAGATGAATGTACCTCTTTTTATATCCACAGTGAGGGAAGATAGGTTGTTTTGTATCTTTTAATACCCAGATTATTTGTAGCTGGGGTGTTCGGAGCAACCCCTGAGGAACTTACATGTGGCACATGATACTGGGAGACATCCGGGAAAAGTACCTTCCAGGCAACGGCAAGCTCCGTGCCATCGTCATCACTGATGGTTTGGATACACACAGCCCCTCTCCGTACCAAGGCATACAGGGGATGAATCCCATGATGCGGCAGTTGTTGGAAGATGGATTTGACATTGAATGGCACATTGTGGTGATTTCTATCAACAATATCTTGGGTCGTCCTGCGATTTCAAGCGCGGATATCCTGAAATACGAGGCTTTGGCAGAAACTACAGGTGGTGGTTTCCTGCACATTGATGAACCTGGGGTGATGAATGATTATAGCGCCCGACATTTTTTGACTTCCCTAGAAAAGGCAGTGACTGGTAGCGATTCCAGCTTTCTGGACAGTGCCAATTTCTCGGATCAGCAGAGCAAGGGCGCGCGTTTTCTCAGGCGCCTGCATCAAAGTAACCATCATTTGGAAGACCAGGCAGCAGATCAAGTTCGGCGGCAGAAGCAACTGGAGTTGCGGAAACAGGATCCCGTGGCATCTAGACTGCCATGGCTACCACTCTTGGAATCCAGTAGGAAAGGCAAGAAATGATGACATTTTCCATCATTTTCCTACACCAAGGGTGAACCCATGGGGTTCAAGTTGCAAAAAAGAAGACATCCACTGCTCTGCAACGGCACCCTGCTGAATGCATTTGGCAAAAATCTGTCTTCGCTGAAGTCACAAACTGGGGTGGAAAAGTAGCATGTTTTGGGAAGATGCTGAAAGCCAAGTCTCAAACAAGCATTGGGGTATGCAGTCGAAGAGTCAGCTGGCAGTGCCTCCAGATAGATGTTGCTTTCCTTGGATAGGCATGTCATTTGGAAAGGCATACATTCTCAGGCATTAGAGAGGGCACAAGATGCCTTCAAAGAACACTCCAACAGAGCAGGTGCATGAAAGATGCTCAGACCGTCACCTGACGTGAATGGAAATGTGGAAGACTGGCATCCCTTTGTCTTCAAATCGGCCAGTTTAGGTGCAAGGAGATGGGGGTGGAGCTCCAGGTTGCGCTGCATTGCAGGGCTGGAAAGTTCAAAGCCCTTTCCACTGTAGGACTTTGCGCCCCAGAGCAGGGATTCTCCTCATGAAAATCACAGAGGCGCATTTTGGCGGACTCGAATTGTACCGTGGCTGGGACCTTTCCCCCCTTGCGGCCGCTAGCGGTTCCCTCGTTGCAGACAGGTTTGGGCTGGTGACAGAAATGTTTCGATTTGATATGCGAAGTTCTGCCAGTGCAGCGGTTTCGGAGGAGTTTGCACTTGGCACTTGGAGAAAGGTGCAGTGGCACAGAGGATAGATGGATGTTTCTCATCAGTTTTACTTGAGATGGGCGTTTGCTGATTGCAAAAGATGAGCTGCAAGGTTTTGAGTTCATAATTGCATTCCGATCATTAATCTATCATTTTTCCTGGCGAAGTCCCAATTTTCCATGGTAAAAGCCTTCATGGAGCCGCCTTTCCTCCTGTGCTCCCCAGATCAAGGCAGCGTGCCATGCAACTTTGAGCAGATATGACATCATTTCATCATTTCAGTTTCTCTGGGAAACGGGGATTTACCACCCAGTTATAGCCATTTCATAGGAAGCACGATCTTCAACCAGTGGATTTTTGAGGTACCCAGCTTGACACATCACATATTGTTTTGCGTGGAAGACTGAGATAAGTTCAAACAATCAACCAGACTTGAAGGGGAGTGGACTTCTAGAAGAAGAACATGATAAACAAATGGATAGTAAAGCATGGTGAAACCATACTCCATCCTATAGTTTTTTGTTTTTGTTTTTTTTTTCCGGAAAAAAAAACATGATAATCCCATGGTAATCAGCCCAGCAGAGTTGGGTCATGACGGAGCACTTGAGCCATGGATGTATTTTCGATGTCGGACCCATTGGTTACGTCACCGATTTGGAAGGAAATGTGGATCTATGGGAACGATTTCTTGAGTCCCTTGCCGGAACTGCCTGTGGCAGTGAAGTGGGTGTAACTGGGTGAACTAGGAGGTGTGCTTTCCTGAAATGGGGTTCCCCCCAAATCATCCATTTGAGGATTTTCTGTGGTACCCCCATTTCTGGAAACCCCCATATTTTTGTTAAGGGGCTCGATCCACATGCCCTGTGACCGCTGGTTTCGAGCGCGGCTTGATTTATAGGGAGATTTAAATTTCTCTCGCGGAGCCCATTTCAATATAGATACCCTCTGGTTATGACTAACATAGCCATGGAAAATCCCTGATAAATGGAGGTTTCTAGCTGGGAAAATCATCTATAAATGGGCCATCTATACCATGGCTATGTTAAATAACCAGAGGGTATCTATATTGAAATTTGACACTGTCATGAAACTCTGGCAATGAACATGGCAATGACAAATGAACCATGTGGTAAAGGGGCATGCATCCACAACTGTGGGTGGAAAAGTTTCGACACCTCACAGGCTGACCAGGCGAAATAGTGCGTTTTTCAGGGAATCATCCCAAACATGGCCAGATGTCTCCCACTTGTCATAGTATTTAGACCTGTACAAATACAACACACACACACACCAACAAATAAACAAACACATAAATAAATAAATACATGAATAAATATGTAAATAAATAAATAGATAAATCAATAGATAAACAAATAAATATATAATATATTTACACACACACATATTATATGGATGTTATTATTTTTTCTTTTTTTTGGTCATACACATTGAATCAACAAATCCAGCGAAAGGACTTCGCATGTCCTGTACCGAGAGCCTTCCGGCCGCATCGCTCTTCGGGATGCCTGCTACTTCGTCTTCGGTGGTGATGTCGGCAATCTCAGTTGTGGGTCATCAGGCCTTTTTTTTGGTAGGGATCTATGTGTGTATATATATATATACTGTATATTCTATATCTACTGTTGTATATACATTGTAAATCTATGAGGGATATATATATATACACACTATATATATATATATATATGTATTATATTATATTATATATATATTTATATATTATATTATAATATTATATATATATTATAATATATATATATATATTATAGTCAGACTCCAATAACTATGATTTCTGATGGTTTAGCGGGTATTTTTACCAACTTCGACCTGGGGCGACTTTGGGGGTTTCTAAAGCCATCGGAGCGACCCAGTCGTCACCATGGTCATCCATGACTTGGATGATTTGGGGGTAGCCTTTTATATGAGGTTTGACCACGACACATAGGGGATATTCTGGATGGTAAATGGATGGCACACATTTTTTCTTGGATTTATGGATGACATGACACCCGCAAATTGTAATCATGTCGATGGAATGGGACTCAGATGATTCCCCAGCACACTTTTTCGGGTTTTTTCGTAGAATTTTCCTCAAACCAATCCAGTGATCATGGATGTTTTTGAACACCACTGGGGCACATAACACCGAAGGAAGGAAGAAGAATTGAAGACGTAGTGACATGGATTTCTTAGATGGATGACATGACACCCACAGATATGGTATACATTTTCTAAGTTTTGACACTTTCTCATGGCGATGGGAACATGTAGTTGTTCCATGTCGTTCCAACAAACCTTCTCCAAGTCTCAGGTCGTAGATCACTATGCAGGAGATCTGCAGCTCTTGGATGATTTGCTGGACCTGAAACGGCGCTATGGTGACCGGGTGCACTTCGTCCTGGGCAACCGTGGCTCGGCAAGTTGGCCAACAGGGCTGCTGGCAAGCCCGCAGAGATCGTTTTTCGTATCAGAATTCAAAGCTATGGTGTAAGCCTGTAAGCCCTTGGACATTCATGTCCATGTTTTCGTTTCACTTCCAGTTTGATGATAGACTCGGTGAAAAAACGTGATTCACGTATTCATTTAGCTGGTTGGTTTACCAACCCAGCTGTTTCACAGCGACCCAATGCTGTGATTTCCTGGTGAATCAGTGGAGAATTTGGGGCCCAAAAAAATTTGGGCCCAGTCAGGTGATGTGAATAAACTGCGATTGCCCTTCGAGCTGCGGGAAGACTTTCGCAAAGAATGGCCTCTGCGAGAACATCCTGGTGTCTACTGGCAGCTACGATGAAACTGATGGCCTGATGCTGTTGTGAAACAAATGGACAGATGCTGGTGGATATTTTAGAAATGTGGTAAAGCCAAGGATTTTTAACCAACATTTAGTGATTTTCAACACCGATTCATGGTAATGTCATCGGGGATTGTTGATGCTTTAGTTCCTTCAGGCTTTTGGGTTTACCACATTGTCTTCTGCAAGAACAAGTGCTCTTATTGGAAGCCATTCCACCAAAAAAAACAACATAACAAAAAAAATAACAAATAATTTCCTATAAATTCTGTTCTCCAGTTCTCCATTTTGAGACCTAAAAATAAAAATAATTTCCTATAATTCAAATAGAAAAATGTAGAAATCCCTGCAACCTTGCCTCTTTCCGAGCTTGGACTGTGTAAAGTCGCCGGGTCGCAAGGGGGGAGCTATCCTACCCAGGATGGTTGCTGTAATTGCTGTCCTAATTGGCCGAGATGACTTCTTTGTAGTTGATCTATTCTTTAAAAAGGACTCCGAATTTGTTGTAAATCATTTTCTCATCAGTGACGAAGATGGAGAAGATCAATATTTTCCAGGTGTGAAACCACAAAATCAGCATGTTTTTCAGGGTTGTTCACCGTTGAAGCCCCAAGTTTTTCCATAGCTTTCGAGGCTCAAAGATCGAACACCCAGAGATTGCCTCCCCGAAGAGGTCCTCAATGAGAATAGCGTGGTGGAGCATCTGAAGTGGACCGTTGATGCGCTTACTGAAACTGCGTTTTTTTTTTTGTGGTATAACTCATAACTGTTAATAAAGGTATAGCTATGTAAGAACTGTTCATATGGTTGATAATATCACTGTGGTATAAGTGTGTCATTAACAATGTTTGGGTTCTTGTCATGGGTTGAGAAAAACTTTCTTCATGGGTGAGTGACTATCCTTATTTATGGAAAGGCAAGCCCGTGTTGACCATTACATATGTGGCTTTTTCGGTGAAAATTGGCTGTGGTTCGCGAAAATTCGCAACGGCGTATTGCGAAGAGATATTGCAGCATGTCCGTTACAAATTGTGTGGCTCAAAAAATCTTGCAAAACTTGCACCCATCCCTCCATCCCCTTGAAATATACTGCATCCCTTTCTGGAGCTAAGTCGTGATTCGGGTTTCCCGAGAGGATCTTGAAAGTCACCCTGGGAGCGGAGAAGGTCTGGGTCGTCTCGGTTGTCGTCTTGATCAGCACCAAAGAGGTCTTTTTGAGCGTTGCAAAACTCCATTAAAAGGGCTCAAATCCTGCAGTTTTGTTGTTGATTGATTAATCTATTGATATTCATTTTTTGCTCGATTCGTTCAAAAATCACCATTCATATCTCTCACCAGCATTGATTTACTGTTGATCTCTCCAATTGTTGAACGTTTGTTTGTTAATAAACCATTGATTGTTGATAAAATATGGATCAGCTGTAGTGACCTCATGACATGACGTCACTCGTTTTTGGGAATCGTCCCCAAACAGCTGCGTTTTTGTTTCAGCTTTACTTTCAGCTGAAAGTGAGTATAATTCAGCCAGGTTAAAATGTCATGAACAGCTTTTCGGTGCATCAACCCGTTAAATGCTGTTAAAGTTAAATCCCTATTTTTGATGGTTGTATAAATCAAGTTAAATCACCATGTTTATTCATTTTTCATAGTTAAACCCCCAGCCGGTTTTTTCGGGTGAGGCCTTCGACTGCCGCCGGACGGAACTGCAACGCTTGGGCAGAGCTTGCAGTGACGAGGAGGTGGTGAGAAGTTTCGAGCCTTGGAAACATGGGATATATCAACTTGTATGGGATATCAATATATGGGGGTTTCCATAGCCATGGGGATAGCCCATTTATGGATGGTTTCTTTGAAAATCCCATAGAAATGGATGATTTAGGGGGTACCCCTATTTCAGGAAACCTCAGTATATATATATATATATATCAGTGGCATATTTTCATGGGATATGACTATAAAATACTATAAGTCCATTGATATCCAACTTCATTCTTGGAAGATGATACCATGGGATATATATAGCCGCAACTAGAATGGAATATGACTGGGGATATCAATGGACTGATGGGATATTTTTCATGGGATATCCATGGGGATTTGTGATTCACCATGATTAACCAACTCGAATGAAATATGAGGATGGATCAAAACCATCCAGCTATACCAGATGACTGATGGAATAAAGATGCAGCTATACTAGCGCTCCGACCTAGGGTGCCATCGGGGTGCCAGGGTTTTGGCGAAAATAGAAAAAATCTGTGGCCCCTGAGTATGACAGCATGAAACA